TTTCCCTGGTCACTGTTCAGGAGAAAATTATTAAGGAGGGATATGAGGCTGGGGAGTCTTGGGAAAGGAAAAGGGTGAAATCTGGGGATGTGTCCAGCCCCTGGCAAAGGCAGCTGACAAATCTTTGATGGAGCAGCTGTCACCAACCCCCCTGAATCTCAGTTTAGTTTTGGATCAGTCTTGGTTGATGCACTCGTTTACTGCCTTTGCACTGTGCACAGGAGTAATCAAGCTGTATGTGTGACTCTCATGGACATCCTAGGACTCTAAAGGAGACCCAGTGGCTGTTTGGTGTAAATTTTGTGCAAAAGTCTGAAAGACTTGACCATTATTCATTGCAAATTCCTTGATATAAAAAACTGAATAGGAAACAAGCAGCAATTTATCAGTAAGGAACGAACCCTATAGTTAAAATCCTAGTAGTTTGCCCAACAATAATTGAAATTGTTATCTCAGAAATGTACCATCCACATTATCGTGCTGCACCTACTTATTACAAAGTCAACACGGGTCTGAGATGTGCAATTGTTTATCACCTCTGTGAAAAGAGCACCAATTGTTCTCTTATATTGGTATGAAGCTAGGTTATGGGTAAACTGCAGTGATAGTACTTGAAGATCTTGTTCTAACTGCATATTGCTACTCTGTGAAGTTCACTGGAAACCACTGCAATGCACACAATTTAAAAATAGAGAAATAAAGATCAGAGACACATACTATGATGTCTACTAATGGAATTGTTTACATTTATTATGCCCTGCTCTGGCATGAGCCTTTGATGATGGGAAACTTTAGGTCAGTGAAATTTTAGAGTTTTCTTGCAAACAAATTTTGGCTCCCTCAGATAAGAACAGAAAAATTACACTTTTGAGTTCCCAAAGGAATTCCACTGCTAGGTTTGGCTGAATACACGTTTTTCTACCCCACTCTGCTTTTCTGCTGGCACATTGCACTGAACAGAGCAGAGCAGAGTACAGACCATATCTGTAGAAGAGCAAACTCCAATCAGTGATGTAATTTCCAAACCAAAATGTTCGGAAAATACTTTCTTTTTGGTAAAACCAAGCCTTTGCATGGCACATTTTTTTCATTTCTTCCACTATAGGTTAATTAGCTTCAGCTTTGTGTACAGCAGGGATTTCCTTAGAGTCAGTCATACTAATTGTTTCTCCAGTCTCTTTACTAAAAGCTGCTTTGATTTTGAAAGCTATGCTTTTTCTCAGCCTGCTAGACCTACCATGATATAATATGTAAAAGAAATGAGAGTGGTATAAATAAGAGAGCTTTTGAAGTCTCTGATATTTCAAATATTCCCTCTACAGTTGTCCACTTGCTGACAGATTAACAATTAATATTGTTTCTCACATTCTTCCCTTACTTAATCCTTTTAGAGTCACTTAAGTTTTGTCTTTAGGGCTTTGTTCTGCATTCATGAGGGATATTAACTGCTTTTTATCCACTTAGGTGTTAAGAAAAATGTTCCTTTCCCCTTACACATGTCTTTTTTTACTGTCTAGAATAGATTACTTTGCCTTTTGTTTTGGTTGAGGTAGCAGAAGTTTTGTTTCAGCATTTCTTGCTCTGTGGTATGCTTATCTGTGAGATGATGCCTAACTGTGCCACCATGGTTTCTTTATCCAGCTGCTATTAAAGCAAGTATATTTTGTGAAGTCCTTCAAAATGCAGAAGAAATTAAAAACAGGAAGAGGAATTGACAGTCACAGCAGCTGAAACCTCATATTTTAGCAAGGGTGCCATTCTTATTAATTTCCTGAAGTTGCTAAAATTAATTCTGATGATGAGTGCCTAAGGACTACTATTGGGACAGTTACTGAAAGCACATGTAATTTGAAAATAAGTCACTTATTGTCTTGTTGATATCTTTAAATGAAATAGGAAAATTGGTTTAAAATGCTGGAATTTATTATTTTCTAAGAAAGCTTAGAATGCATAACTGCATAGCATTATTCATCAGCAGAAACTGGAATATAAGGGGAATCAACAGAAATTAATAAAAAAATTTAAGGGCATTTTTGTTCTCCAACACATATCAATATCAGTATCTGATTCTGGATTTGAAATGATACAACTGAAAACAGATACTGGACAATAAATTGATGGAGACCTGCATGATCTGTTTGCAACCTGTCCTCACATGAATATAATCAGGAATGATTTCAAATTCTTTATAAGTCTATGCACAAAAATCCATATTTCAGAACACTGCTTTAAATTTTATTGAGCTAAAATTGGCAGCAAATTTATGCTTAGATGTTTCAATGGCTGAAGCAGAGTGTTGCATTCAAACTTGAAGCAATATCTGACATAGTTATTACTCCAGCACTGTGCAGATCAAACCTATTTCTTAAGGACAGTCTTCTCCTGTCTTTCAGGGAGAAGTCCTTCTGTCTTATCCACAGAAGCAGCTGGCAATGGTAAGCAGGATAAACTTCTGTACGTAACTTAGTCCATACAAGTCTCTGCCAAGGAAAACTCTTGTTATCCAAAATAAATAATAAGAAGCCATTGTCCTTTTAGAGTCCTCTGCTGAAACCTTATTAAAGACTCGATGATGTAATTACTCTACCTGAAAAGGATTTGTGTGCTATCTGTAGATTTAATTGAAACCTGACTCTTCATAAGGGGTAATCTCTGTGTGCGCCTGTGACTCGTGCAAGCACAGGCACATGTGTATTTTGTTTCTCTGGTCTTGTCACTTGAGCCAATATCTCAGATTAACATACATTTTGCTTGTAGTCACCCAAGTTCTTCATCCTTGGGACAATGCAAGTGCCTTGCCACATGCTAAAATCACTGAAGTGAAATAAGTGGTTGAAGTGGTGAACTCCATTATACATGTATGAAGAAGTCATAGTTTCTCCTGGGACTGTAAGGCAACCTGGATGACTGGCTAAAACCAGATGCAGAACATTAAGGTGTCTAAACTAGGTCAGTTCTACCACTGTAATTGTTTATGTTGTTGCTATTCCTCTCATTTTAAATAGCTCTTAAGGAAACCTCTACATGCTCTATGATTATTTCCCTGGGTGAAAGCCAATTCTGCCACACACAAATAACTTGCTAGTGATATATCAGTCAAGTCATTTAGCTTAAATTATGCCCATGTTGCTTGTTCTGTGGAGACAAATAACAATGAAACACAAAAGAGGAATGATACAGGGCAAAAATTCATTTTGTCCTGTTCTGAGTTCTAGAAGTAAACAACATATTTTGCAATTATTTTGCAAACAGAGAGAGTTGTTTTCTGTTAATAACAGCAAGGGCATTTATTTATATTACTCCACGAACTGTAATCTGTTGATACCTTCTTTCCTCATGAAAATCACAACTGACATTTATATGAATTACTTTAATGCATAAGGATAAAAGAAACTACAAACTGAGAGAGAGCTGATGGACAGAAACTTTACCAATGACCTCCCAGCACAGCTACCAGTGATGCTAATGCTGGCAGCTGTTTCAGCAGCGTGCCTGGTTAGAACAGGAAATGAAATATCTGGTATCTGAATGAAACATTTCTAGGACACCTATTATAATGATCCAAAATGCTAAAATTATTCTGATACCAGATGTAACTTCTTTACTCTATTACTGTGACCTAATTGCAATTGTTAATTAAGGCAGCTAGTGATGGGTTTTTCTTTTTGTCCAAAAAATGTCACTTCAGGAATCTCTGAGCACATCTGCTATTCTGGAGCATCCTATTCACAGGATGGAGAGGGGACAATACCACCTCTTGAACTGTGACTTCTGCTACCTGATCCACAAAGCTTTAAAATGCTTTCAACATTGCTTAGTCATTTTTCATTTTTTTCATTGATAATTTGCTAAAGGTATGAAATGGAAACTGGGAAAAATAGGAACCATCAGCTTACCTGACCCTGAAATCAGGAGAACAAACAGTGCACAAGAAAGAAAAGAAGAGAAGAGAAGAGAAGAGAAGAGAAAAGAAGAGAAAAGAAAAGAAAAGAAAAGAAAAGAAAAGAAAAGAAAAGAAAAGAAAAGAAAAGAAAAAGAAAAGAAAGAAAAGAAAAGAAAAGAAAAGAAAAGAAAAGAAAAGAAAAGAAAAGAAAAGAAAAGAAAAGAAAAGAAAAGAAAAGAAAAGAAAAGAAAAGAAAAGAAAAGAAAAGAAAAGAAAAGAAAAGAAAAGAAAAGAAAAGAAAAGAAAAGGAAAAGAAAAGAAAAGAAAAGAAAAAAGAAAAGATAAGATTTAACTCTCCTAGTTGTATCTCCAGAGTCAAGGTTTGATTTGAATTCTATTCTCTGCAAAGAGCATACAATTTCAGGTGTTTGGCATGCCTGATAAATAATTACAGAGGTATTTATGCACACAGGACTTACCAGCAGAAAAATTACTTTTCTGGATTATTAAGTAGTTTCTTATTCATTGCATTTAATCAAATCAGAAATGCAAATATGAAGCAAGAAATGCAAAAAAAAAGATGTTATGATGCCTGCTTTGTGAAAACCTCATAAAACAACCCATTCCATAATTGATTTTATCAGATATAAGTGACTGATGCTTACAGGTGATGCAGGATGTGGTAACTTCTTTTGATCAGAAATAGCCTTACAAAGCATCACATAGTGTGCCCTTTACCACTATTTTTATGTCACTTTTCATCTTGAAAAATCCAAAGCCATTTGTAAGACTAATATACAGAGATAGTTAGGCCCTTATGTGGAAAATATCCTCCCTAGGAGTGGAACACAAAAATAATATTGCACGAGGGATTTGAGAACATGAGCTGAACAATCCTGCCCAGTATGAAATTGCACAGCATTTTTTAAACTGAAAGGATGTAAATGGGATTTGGTCAGTATCATGGGACCTCTTCATCCCGTGACATGATGAGATTTTTTTCATTATTCATAAATGTTTAGGCCCCTGCATCTGTCTTTTTCCTTCTGCACTTCATCCCAGTGACTTCTAGCACTGGTCTGATACTTACTGAGACGAGAATGGCACCTACTTTGTTTCTGCAACATCTACGTTCTCTCTGGGAGGTTCCCAGGCTATTCAGTGGCAACGCTACTTAGCTCACAAAATTTGACAAGGACCACTGGCCAGGACACTGTGGCTGGAGACAACAAACACAGCCATCAAATGCAATTGCTCTCCGTTAAGCAGCAGGTGTTCTTAACTGTTTGAGTAGGTCTTGCAGCTGACAGTCTTGCTGTGGAACTATCAGACTGACACAGTTTCCAGTCTTTTTGACTGTTAGGGCATCCTCTTTAACAGGAAGCTTTTTCTCCTCTCTACTTGACTCAGATCGATTACAGTCTGGAATGCAAACAGATTCTTCACTGTGAAGATATAAAATATAAAAAAGAAGTTTTTCAAGTGTATATATATGGCCAGGCAAAACAGAGCTGAATACTGTACAACAAAATACAGTTGTTTGACATTTACATGTATTTTTCTGCTCTTCAAAATTCTCTTATATAGTGACTCCAGATAGCTTTTAAATGAAGAATAAATATCACTGAAAGTAATGTAATGTGGGAAAAAAAAAATCCAGACAACACACACAGACAAGAAACAGAATCCCAGTTGACAAAAAGGAACAGGTGCGTATACATTTTGTACACCACTCAGCGATGAATGTTCCTGATGTTACTTAAACAGCAGGAGTCCCCCAGGTGTGTGCTCTGTGGCGTTATAGCTGGTAGCCTTACGTACATGAGTGAATATTGTTGTACCCAAGGGGAACATAACACTGTGCAAGCGTTTCACTGAGCACCCTTCTGCAATGATAAATTTCACCTGTAATTTAACACTTGGGAAAGGTAAAGGTATAATTTGATCATACTGTGCTTTAAGGTTACAATTATAAATACCTTACAGGGGTCAATAAAGAATGAGTAGATCTTTTAATAAATGGTAAACAAAATGTTTCTAACTTGTAGTAGAATGTAACGCAATGATACAATGCTTATTAAGAGTATTGTTTCATGAAAGATTTATAGCGATCTGTGACACATGCGGCTTATTCATTTATTAGCAGAGATATCTACAGAAATGGATTTTCTGTCCTATGGGAGAGTTCAACAATTGGAAATCTGACTGGACTCGAAATGAGATGAATAATTGAAATCTCCAAATATTTCACAGAATTAAACAGTTTGAAATATTTCAATACAAAAACATCAAAATGGCTATATTGAAACTGTTCATCTCAGTAACACTGAAAAAATGTAGTATTTGATACTCACTAAAATTGTAACATTGGTGTATGTCATGCAATATATAATGGCCAAAACAAAACTGAAAATAAATATAAATTAAATTCAATGGAGAAAGTTATGAAAAAGATATTCTGAACTCTATTTAAAATGAGTTTGAAACCTTTCCTTAAAACCATTGTAAAGCTCAACACTTTCTCACAAGATATTTTGATTGAGAAGAACCAACATTTTCATATTGAAAATGTTTTCATCAATCAGTTTTTCTCTGCTCTTTTTAAAAGCTCTTTTGATTAGACCTAATGTAATCCCTAATATATAGTGGGACCACCATTCCAGAGGAGTTCTGGAGCTACTTACTCCAAGTTTGAATGCTGTCTCTCTTCATCTGCTCTACTAGCTTACTGATTCAGGTGTAAGGCTTCTCTTCCCCAAAGCACCATATTACAACAACATCACACAGGACACGTGATTTGGATCACTCAGATGAACACGGTGCAGGTTTTTTTTGGTGGTCAGATGGAACATAGAAATCAGCAGTGGCCACATTTTTTCTTTTTTCTTTTTCTTTTCAAAACATACTATATGGGATGCACAGGAATTACAGACAGAGGACCTGGCCTGGCATTGTCCCAGGGCTGCTCCTCTTGTTCACAGACATATCACACTGCCCTAAGGCCACTTGCTGTTTGCTTACCTGGTCATTGTAGCTCTCCCACCATTCCCCATACTCCCTTTTGGGGTGAAACACTCTATTTCCGACTTGTGCGGGGCCAGTCTCCTGCCTTTGTACCTAATAAATCACGACAACAACAGGAGCAAACAGAAAGAAGTGATTGTGTGCTCGACTTTCTGCGACAGCTGCTGTGCAAAGGGCCATGCACATGAATGCTACTGCAGCAGTGGTGGGGTATAGTGCAAAGCAGCCGTGGGAGCCGTGGAATAACTGCATAAAACCCCAGACCTGTGCTAAAACAAACAGGGCTATGCAGGAGAGGTGCTCACCGCTTTCTTCTTTCATATATATAGAGGAGCCAAAACATTCTATAGAATAGAGAACATGCTAACCGTTTATCTTTCATAATTTTTTGAGTTAGACCAAGATGTTTGAACAGTTTAAGGGAAACAACACTTAAATTAAGGATCACTTAATTGGGATGTGAGCACTTAAATTAAGGATCAGTGAGAATCAGTTGGTGGCCGTGTTCTCAATCCTAACTTAATCTTTTTCTCTGATCCTCCATCTCTGTAACACTTGACTTGTTCCTCTGCTTATCAAAGCAAGCACCAGTGTAGTTGATTGCTGGGATAAAATTTGGGTGGGCTCACAGTTCATGTCGTGAATGGGCCTTCCTCTCTCCGTTAGCAATAAAAGGAGGCTAGATGACTTGCTGAGATGTAGACATAAAGTCAAGTGAAATCAACCCCAAACCTAGAGCCCAGTGCAGTACTATGGATGTTTTAAATACCATACCTTGCACTTTGATGAAAAATTCACTTGGATAAACAGTTTAATACTTGAGGATCTAATTAGTCCCTGGATAGGACACCAGGATAAGACCTGGTCATCATTTACTCTCTGAGCACTTAATTGGGATGTGAGCATTAAAGAGGTCTTATGCTGGCTCTCTTCCCAGTGGTGAATTTCACCCTAATTGTACAAATTCTTGTGCTGGGTGTTGAAATACCTGTTTAAATGCTTTAATAAAGTTTGGGCAAAATGCCTGCAGATGTCATCTCAAATAGTTTGTGATATCCCATTCCCACATGCTATAAACTGCCTTGTGGGTACTTAACACACTTCTGTGGGGAAGCTTGTACATTTTAAAACTGCTAACATTACAGAATAAATAACTTTTTTATTGCTTGTCCATTAAGCTGATCTAGATAGCAAAAGGTACCTTGAAGAGAACAATCATGTAAAAGAGAAATAACCTGAGTACACATGAAGTGAGGCTAAACTTTGGATGCAGTTGTAGTAGATTCATAGAGGCAGTGTATATTGCATTAATAACTGAGGAAGAAGATTAGGGAATCTGAGTTAGTAAAATGAAGTGTGTTCAGTGCAGAAAAGTTCTTTCATTTACAAATTATATCCTTACTGAAAGGAGGAACAACAGGAGCTTTGCGGACTGCATACCAAGGTTTTAAGGCAATCCAGAGTGAGGTATATGCAGTGCTCCCAGATAGATAGGCATGAAGCTTGTGCAGGACACATACATATTAAATGGAATTCAATTCCTAGAGCAAAGGAAAACATGGAGGGGCTTAGAGAGTAGATAAATTCACTGAAAAATACAAAGGAAGTCAAACTGGATCATACAAATTCAATCGGAGTAGCCAGAGAGAAAGAACAAAGGTAAAAGAATGTGTGGAAACTTCACAGGAAAGAAAAGGAAATAAAGTTGGGGTGAAGGTGTTAGACATCAAAGAAAGCAGACTTTAGGAAGAGCAGGAAGGAAACACAGTTACATTTAGACCCGATAACCAGTCTGTGCCCAACAAGACAGAAGGAGAAAGAGTAAAGACTAAGAGAAGGAATTTGGAGACTATAAACACTCACAATAAGCTGAACACTAAAAAGTTACCAACAGAAGGAAACAAGACGCAAGTGTCCTTGGTAACTCCATCCTGAAGAACCCTTGGTTAGTATGCGTGTGACCCAGATAGAGAAGCCCCCCAAAATTGCCCATTCCCCAGTCATTAGCATAAATTTCACTACCGTGAAATTCAGCAGAGAGTCTACTATGAATCTCTCAAATTTTTCCATCCACTCAAGAGCAAATTACACCATCAGAAACAGTATGTTGTCACAGAGTGCCTCAAAGTTTTGAACCATACTAACTGCTCCACTGCCATTCATTCAGTGCTAAATATCCATGTTATTATGAAAACAGTGATTAATCTCTAATCAACCCTCCTAGTGTTGAAAGTGCATCTAACCAGTGCATGGAAGCTGCAAAGTTCTTTGGGTGACCATTCTGGAAAGGCACACCAGAGGTTCTACATAAAAAGGGTTTTCAGCTTTCAGAGCAGATAAAGGACATGATTTTGCCTCAGAATGTCTTGCATTAGAAAAATGTCCCCTTCCTGGTTGTTGAAACAAAGGATTGCTTTAAAAAAATTAATCTAAGAAGAGAAAAAAGCCTTAAACATTTCTTTGCAGTTGTCATAAGAAGTACTAATGTGAAAATTAATTTGTTGTTTCAGTTGTTGTATGGAGGAGGCATAAAACACTACACTGTGAGCAGTATTTGCAAGAAAAGATTTCTTTTCTCATTGTCAATTCCAGGACTATGTATAGGTTAGAAAAGAGAGAAGACTTTGCTTCTGTGCAGAAAGGCAGCTACTAAATTATGTTGAAGGATTTAAAAGATTTTGGGTCATTTTTAGTGTTTCTTTGGGGTTTATGGCATTGTGAGCTGTGTCATTTTTTTGCACAGGGGTGAGTTGCCTTAAGAAAAATGCTTGATGATACATACTAATATGTTTTATGTGTTAATCAGTGACAGGAGATTTGGGAAGTAATTCCCAGTAATTCAATCACTGCGGTGCTTGTCCATTCGCCAAATACCTTGTCACACCACTCTATCTTACACAGCAGTGCTCTGCACTCTCCAGAGCAGATCAGTAGAGAGAAAGAAACTTACTCTTGGGCTGAGAGAAACCATGTCTGTACTGCCTTGGCTTTTAGTGTAGTCAATGCACATGTGATGCATGGCAGGAAACACCAGCGTGACTGCTCGGGTATGAAGGACTGTTAAACCTTTTCCTTACTTGCTTCACCTTCCAACAAAACTCCTCTTGTAGACCAAAATTAATGGATGCTATGGAAAATAAAGGGGAATATGGGAATCATCATCCCAAAGGAGACCAATATTCATCCACTGCAATGCTGTAGAAACCAGTTTTAATGTGTAGATCCCTACTTTTTTTTTTTTTTTTTTTTCCAGTGAGGATATGGGCCCCTGTACTGGCAAGAGCTGACAGTCTTTAGCTATAGACTTTATATTAAACTGTGCCTACACTTTAGAACCAGGTGCTGGTATCTTGGTGGTCCTAACTTCATGTCAGGGTGAGACTCAGGTGTGCTCATGGCTCCTCCTGCCCCTGCTGTCTCCTGGTTTCCATGCAGAGGGTCTCAGATGCCTTGACCAGCAGCCCATTCCATATGGTAGTATATCCCCTATCTGGAGGATGTCGGCAGGCCAGACCCAGAAGATGTGCCATAGCCCTCATTTCTGAATAATTTGGTCAGAGACTTAGTCAAATCCTTGGAAAATATTCTATGGGTAGAATATGGTAATAGTACAGAGATTCTTTTAGAATGGCCACACTACACTAGTTGAGAAAGACTATCCAAAAGAGAAGTGCTTGCAATAGCAAAAAGTAGTCCTTTCAGATAATCTGTCCTCTGAAAAAAAAAATCCTGGCAATTAGAGACTATATTTTACTCTTAGACGTAAGATTTTTTTTTTTCTCTCTCATTTTTCAGTAAAAAGTTTAACTAACTAAAAGATATCTCAGGATATCTTTGGTTTTCTTAATGCAATGCAAAGCAAAGGTAATTTGCGGTGTTAGACATGGAGAGCTGTTATCAATCCAGATTTCAAATGCAATCTCATACTGCCATGCAGAAATGTTATTAATTATTGAGCACAAAATGTGTGCCTGGCACTGTTAACCCAGGAGGAACGGAGTATCTGTAATCAACACAGGAGTAATGTCCTGATGAAACTGTAGCTTGAAAGGGTGGAAAAAGTGATGTTTCCACAGAAACACTTAAGAGGAGAGAGGTTGTACAGCCAAATCCTATTGCAGTGCAATGGCTAATAGTGTATTGGGGACTTCAATTCAGCATTGCAGTGACTAATTCCTAAGATCCTTGTCAATTAATGGGATTCCAATTTTTGGTCTGAGATACTGTAGGGGGTATTAAGTGTCTAAAACTCTCTCTGAATCAAACCTTTTCCCACAAGTTAACAACAACCAAAGCAGGTAGTATTTATTATTTGAACCCTAAACCTCTCATTTTGGCTATTTTTGAGTAAACCTAAAGCAAGACATTTTTAAAGTCCTGAAAATTGAAATTAATGGAGGAGAGGGGATTCAGAAAGCTTTAGAGTATGTTAATGAAATATTGTCTTTTTGCTTGCCATCACTTTTATGGAGTCTTTCCAATGTGCTTATGCCTGGAACCTGGACAGATTGCTGCATGTTATGAAGTCATCCACTCTTTCAGACCCAGTTCTATATTTTAATTGTCAGATCTTGCATACAAGTAGTATTTTTCACTTGAAATATTACTTGACCTTGATGTTAAAATCAATGAATAACTTGCATTTCATAGCAGTAGAGTTAAGGCTGGCCTTTAGACTAGGTAAGACAATATGAATATGAGGATTTCTGCATAAATGGTAAAAAAGGAAATAGGAAAAATATTTGGGATTGTTACTGTAGGGGCTGTTTTGAACTACAAATGTACTGTGTTCTTGAAAATCAGTTCTGTGAGATTAGTCATGCTATCTTGGTATTGCATCACATTGTACTGAATACTTTTAAAGGGGTCTCAGCTTACAGTGTGACATTTTCCCATTTATATAATGGCTAAAATAAATTGTATATTATTAAGCATGGCACTTTTTGTTCCTTTTAAAAAAAAATCAGCATATAAACATTGTTCACTTAGTAACATAATTTCAGCAAGCAAAATTACTTTAAAGGTAAACTTACATTTTTTTTCCAAATGCAGCATAATCTTTTTCTTTTTTTTTTTTTTTACAGCTTATTCTA